AAATGTAGCTGCCCATACAATAGCAAGATGCCTTTCACCTGTATGAAAAGTATGGTCACTGGTGCATGCAGTGTTCTGGATTGCGAGACGGATGTCCGACTGCCAGTTTAGGCCCAACATCCCATCCCCCGAGGGGTCCCAGATTGTGAGAGGATGCAAGCCAGGCTGAGGGACACCGACACCGACACCACCACCACCACCACCACCACCACCACCCCTGCATGCACAAAGTTTGTGCACCGGGCCTCTAGTTGTAAATAATGCTGCAATGAGTATAAGGATGAATGTCTTTTCAAATTAGTATTTTGGGTTTCTTCAAATAAATACCCAGAAGTGGAATTGTTGGGTCATATGGATGTTCTATAATTATTTGAAGAAGTCCATATTGTTTTCCATACTGGATGCATCAATTTACAACCCCATCAACAGTGCACAAGGGTTCCCTTTTTTCCACAGCCTCATTAGCACTTGTTTGCCAATTTACTGATGATAGCAATGCTGACAGCTGTGAGGTAGTATCTCATTGTGGTTTAATTTGCATTTCCCTGATGATTAGTGATGTTTGATATGCCTGTTGGCATCTCTATGTCCTCTTTGGAGAACTGTCTATTCAGGTCCTCTGCCTTTTTAATTGGGTTGTTTGGTTTTTCCGTGTTAGGTTGTATGAGTTCCTTATATATTTTGGATACCAACCCCTTATCAGATGTATCATTGGCAAATATCTTCTCCCATTCACTAGGTTGTCTTTTATTTTGTTGATAGTTTCGCTATGCAAAAACTCTTCAGTTTGATGTAGTCCAATTTGTTTATTTTTTCTTTTGTTTACCTTGCCCAATGAGACAAATCCAAAAAAGATATTACTAGAAGTGATATCAAAGAGTTTACTGCCTATGTTTTCTTCTAAGAGTTGTATGGCTTCGGGTCTTATATTTACGTCTTTAATCCATTTTAAGTTTATTCTTGTATATGGTGTAAGAAAGTGACCCACTTTCATTCTTTTGCATGTATCTGTCCAGTTTACCCACCACCATTTACTGAAGAGACTATCTTTATACTATTGTATATTCTTGCCTCCTTTGTCATAAATTACACACCATATAATCATTGGTTTATTTCTGGGTTGTCTATTCAGTTCCATTGATCTATATGTCTCTTCTTATGCCAGTACCATGCTGCTTTGATTAGTATAGCCTTATAGTATAGTTTGATATCAGGTAACATGATATTTCCAATATTTTTCTTCTTTCTCAAGATTTCTTTTGATATTCAGGGGTTTCTGTGGTTCCATATAAATTTTAGGGCTATCTGTTCTAGTTCTGTGAAAAATGCCATTGGAATTTTGAAAGGGATTGCACTAAATATGTAGCTTGCTTTGGGTAGTATACTAGTAGACATCTTAACAATGCTAATTCTTCCTACTCATGAGTACAGTATATTCTTCCATTTATTTGTATCTTCTTCAATTTCTTTTTTCAGTGTATTATGGTTTCCAAGTACGGGTTCCTTTACATCCTCAGTTAAATTTATTCTAAGGTGTTTTATTCCCATTGATGCAATTGTAAATAGAATTTTTTTTCTTAAATTCTCCTTCTCATAATTTGTTATTGGGATAAAAAACACAACCAATCCCTTCCTCCAGATGCCGATAAGGTGCTCCGTCCTCCTCAGGAAGCTTAGGCCGTGCTGGGATGAGGCCTTCCCTTCGTCCAGCAACAGCAGGGATGGCCGAGTGTGTCCCAGGAAACCTCAGGCAGTTCCTTACCATTAGAGAACGAAGAGGGCGTTGGGAATGGGGGTAGGCAGGGGCCAAGCTCCATGGGGCTTCACCTTGATGACATTAAATATATGAGTTGTAGCATATAGGCCTAACCCAGTGGTCGGCAAACTGCGGCTTGGCAAAAAACGGCTCGCGGGCCACATGCGGCTCTTTGGCCCCTTGAGTGTGGCTCTTCCACAAAATACCGGCTTCTGCGCATGGGCCAA